CCTCAGTGCTTGAAGCAACTGTCCATGGCCTTGGCATATATTCCCCTTCTCTGTAGAGGGCTGCACCCAGGACAGCTGTAAGCAGGACTTCTTACCTTGGCTATTTCTTTGGCTGTCATGGCAGGTCAAGTGGATTTGTGCCACAGATGTCAGGTTCAGATTTCAGTAACTCAGTTGCACTATCTCTCTCCTCAGAAGGCTGTTAACGTCTTCTGGAAGAGAACTGGAAGAGAATAGTTCTTCCCCTCCCCAGAAGAGTCAACAGGTTCTGGACAGAACATTCCTGCCGAGGGCATGTGATTTCAGTAAAAACCATACTTCAGCTGTTCCATGCAATTAAGAATAGTTGCTAATAACAAAACTCATCTCCTCATTTTGATTCTAGATGGAAACAGAAAAAACAACCATAAGAACTGAAAGATTACGTGAAAGACCCTTCAAACACTGCAAAAAAAGTGGATATTATCCACACATCTTCAAATATAACATAGTAAATATTTCATCCCCACTTTGAAAATATTCCATAAATATTATTAGTCTTAATAATAAACTCAGGTAATATATTAAATACCAGGGTCATTTGTTAAATTAGGCATTAGGTCCAAAACCTTTTTCTGTACTCAGAACTGCAGATATTTTTGAAAGTCTGGACCTTACAGTGTATTGGTCTCAGCCTGCCAAATCTAACAAGTTAGCAGGAAAGAGTTCTTTTGATCTATGAATCCAGCACAGTGCCCCATGGTTGAATGAGTAACTAGAAGATGAGCAAGGAAATATGGAAACATTCAGTTAAGACTGCCTAATTTCTCTCAAAGGGAGGTTAATTGATTTTTAGAGGAAATTCTGAACAGGAAAAAGCAGGAGCTGATTTTTTCATACTGTTGTCATATGACTTGTGCCTTCTTGTTTTAAAATGGATGGTTTTGTGATAAAGTCATTGCCCTAGTGTTCAGAATCTCTCTGCTTCATTTCTGTTCAGCTGCAGCTTCCCTTTCCCTTATGTTTAGGAGCAGGAGGATGTTATCTTCTCACACCACAGGGATGGCTGCTGCTAGGCATGAAGAAGAATAGGTTTCTTGATTGTCCAGTGATGACAATACAACTTCTATGCAGAATTGGGAAATCTTCCTATATATAACCATGAATGGCTTCATTTCTTTTCATTTAATGAATAAAACTGATTTAAGGTGTATTTCAAGTTTGAACACCAGTCTTTGGTGGAGACATCAAATAAGCTGACCTAAAAAAAAAAATTATCATTGTTGACCATTTTAATATTGTTAAATAAACAAAGAAAATTATAAGTCTTCAACCAAAAGCAATGAATTAAATCCTATGGAGGGATTTGGAACTGTAGAAAAAAATAATCATCTCAGTGTCCTCTGTGTAAAATTGAGTTTGCTTCCTTCTCAAATAAATGGGAGCTTTGCATTGATATATTAATAACAAATTCAAAGGAAAAGTGACTCTTTATTTCTGTCTTTTACTTAAAAGGAAGAATTTACAAGAAGAATAAACCAAAAAATAATGTGGTCTATTCCCATTTTACTGCCTGTGTATGCTCCATTTCCCTGAAAATTGTGCGAATCTAAACCTGAGCATTTAACAGTGTTCTGGTTTTATTTCCTCTCATTTATGAGCAGTGGAACTTTTTAAATGGAGAACTGTTGTTCTCTAGAACAGTGATTGACAATATCTTTGGAACTTATTCTCACTTAAGAAAGCAATTGATCATCAGGTTGTCAGTAGTTTCAGCTCAAAACACTGTCCCTATTTCTTCAGCATCCAGGGTGAGCTACTGCACATAGTTAAACCCACTGGATTACATCCACATCCAAATGGGTGGTCCTTTGCTTCTGGCTGCAAAAACCTAGACACTGCACTGAACTGAATCTTCAAAAGTACTCCAGTCTCACCAGCAAGGAGTGGCTTAAAAATTAAAAAGTCTTTTGGTTGTTGCTACTTGCAAGAAGGCAGAAACAGCAACTCCAGGAAGTAAACTGGATTGAATGATCAGTAAAAGACTGCCTTGCATAAAACTGAAATCATTAGGTTTCTTTTTCTTCATATATATGAAAAAAAAAACTTTGATCAAAAATTATTTCAGCTATTCATATTTATCTATTTCAGCTGCTAACAGTGCAGAGCAGTGATAGTAGCTATCTTCTCCTTTGTTTTCTTTTCCATCAACATTATTTTAAAGTGAAAAAAATCAGCTCATAATGGCAGTGTCAAGACTACCTGCCAGCAGTTATGGAATGACTATGTAATCTCCATGACTAAAATAATTTTCTAAGTTACAAGTTATTACAGTTGTTGCTAAGATTTGAAGTGTGATTTTCAATGCAACCCTCCAGCTTCCAGACTGGTACATTAAGAAGTATTGAAAAGAAATTCACTTCCTTCTAAAGGAGAAACACCAAACACTTCTAGCTCTAAATATATCAAGAAGAACAGGTAATGATCAGTGACTACTGATCAGTGATAATTAACAAGAGAAAACGTAAAAATCTGTCCAACTCATTTGCCTGATTCCAACTGTGGCCATAGCAGCTGGCAAGGGAAGGCATTAAAACAAGCCAAACACAGAATGATTCTTAACCTTTGCAAAATATGTAGATTTTTTTTTTTTATCTCTGTGTGTGCATGTGCATATATGACATATCTGCAAAAGAGCTAAAATGATAGATTTGGAGAAGGCCATAAACATGAGGAGCATCTACACAACAAAACGTAACATAAAACAAAATATCAACAACACAACATCTATGTTTTTCAGCAAGCAGAGGAAATTCTTGTACCTTGATATACCACATTAGGCCATTACAGACACATGCACACAACCTCTAAAAGCAAAGTAAGATATAGTTTTTCTAACACACAGTTTTATGATGAAATATATACTATTCATTCCTTTCCAAAGTCTGGGAGAAATCAAGCCTGTCAATGAAATTAAACAGCAACAGACCTGAAATTAGTAAAAGGAAATTTATACTGCATAAAGTGTATAATCAATCTCCAGAGTTCTCAATAGAAGGAAAATTTGGATTAAAAATCTGGGATATTTATATGAATAACAATAATATTTACAGTTATGTTAGTGCAAAATAAACCACACAGGCACAAAGGCAGACCCACCCATTAAACGCCTGGGCTAAGAATGATGTCTCCTTTTTAGGAGTGTTAATGTATGGTTTTTAATGATAAATACTTGACACCTTCCACCAGTGAATTTGACACTGGCAGCTTTCAAGTGCAGGATAATAGATTAGAAGAACCTTTGGTATAATCAGCATCAGGTTTCTTTTCCTTCAATGTCCCCCTTCCCGATCTACAAGGGTGGTCTTCTCCACAATGGAAACAATGCCGTGCCAAGTTATTACATAGTTTAATTTTTATTTTTTTTTTTATTTTCAAATGGCTTTAGAGAGCAGATGTTCCCATGCAAGCATTAGAGCTCTTTCTCTGTGGATGTCTGCAGCACAAACAGAACACTGAATCTCATCCAGCTATCACTCAAGTCCACGGCAAAACTCCCACTGAGCTGACCAAGGTGAGGGTTTGGCCCAGTGACTGTGATAGTCTGTTCAGCTCCTGCCCCATCCTGTAGCTAGCGAGGAGTGCACAAGTGTTAGTGTTCATGATATTATTATTTGGGCTGTCTGATGTGCAAAACCACAGGTATAATCCTTGGGTGGAATTATTTCCTTTCTTTCTGGAAGAAACCATGGCAAATCTGCTTCTCTTATAATGGACAAATTCCTTAAATACTGTGAGTTCAGCTTAACTTTTCAGAATGCAGTGGTTTATCCAGAGTTTACCCAAAACCCTCACATCTTAGAATTGGTCAAAAATTCTCATCAGAACTTAATTTTAGGAGGGTTTTGGGATTTCCAGATTTCCTTGTTTTATGGCTCACCCAAAACCAGTTAGATACATACAATGTATAACAAGTATTTTAAAGGTGAGGAAATTTATCACTGAATTTTAGTAGGTGGGAACCTGGTGCCCAGGGAAGTGAAAAAAATTCTGCCTGCTATTACTTGTGTTAGTGGCAGAATCCTCACCTGCTCTACTCAGCTTTTCCCTTGTGAGAAAAAATAGCCTCTCCACAGAAATTTCAGACTTTCTTCCATACCCATCTCTTTTTGGGAACCAGATATGCAGGTTCTGTAAAATTTTTAGATATGTATTTTTATCAGATTATGCAAATACTTCTGATATCTTCAAAAGGCTTAAAAAAGGTAGTTAGAACAATTGACACAGATCAGAGGATTCCACTGCTTTAGGTGAACCTGCTCATTCACAGCAATTTTGCTTTTTGATCCTTCCCTCCTGTTTTTCTGAGACCCTGAAATGGTGCTGAAGTGATGCTGTTATGTTTTTACACATTTCCAGTCATTTTATTTCCCTGTCTTGCATTTTGTGGGGGGTTGTTTGGTGCCACAAAGAGATTTTTCCCCATACAATCATAAATAATTGCTTATGTTCAAAACTCTCATGAAGATCCATACCAGAGTTTTTTTAAACTCTTGAGAAAGTGGGTAACAAATCCTTGATCACTCTATTAGCTGAATAATGTCAATCATTGATGTCCTTGCAACTGTCTACAAGACTGAACATTTGTATTGTTTTAAAGGACTCATCAAGAAATGTACTGAAGACTACGTGGCTTTCTTGGGTAATGTTTCAAGTACTCTCACAGTAATCAAAAGCCAAGGAAACCAAACAGCTGGGATGAAAAGTTAGAACTTGTGTTCACACCTCAAAACTGGCATTCTGACATGCTGGACGTTCTTATTTTTCCCAATCCAATTCAAATTCCCTGCCCTGTGAGTAATTTATACTCACAGGAAGAGATGCCTCATTCTAAGAATTATTTTCTTGTATTTTGTTCTCTTTGGTTTGTGATGATTCACTGGTTCCTGAAATTCTCCAGCAGCAAGGCAATCCCCACTCACACCAACGAATCCCAATGACTCAGATGGGACTCAGAGAAGCAGCAGTTGCAAAATAAGATATATTTGTTCAAACACATGGGCCAAGACACAATACAGAGAAGCAGGACCAATATTTCTCATTCACAATACTATAAATAAAATTTGTGATTGTTTGCCAGATAAAGACTTCATGGGGAATGATGTCTTGTCAGAGATACTAGGAAACCTGCTGTTTACAACCTTAGAAGACACTAAGTAATTTTTTTAGCAAAGCAACAGATTTCCTGGTTTGCTTGAAATGAACTGGTCTACAGGAAGGCAAGAGGCTTAACTAAGGACTTAGCAAAATTGAATATTTTCTTTAAAGAAAAACTGTAACTACAAAAAAGGTAAAGAGATTTTGGATTATAAAACCTTTTTACATTTTATTTCCTATTATTAATTTCTTAAAATATATATATAAAAATGAGGATCTGACTAAATGAATCAGGACATCAATTGATAAATGTCTGTCCTTGTAAACAAATAAATAATTATTTACAATCTTTGGCAAAACAAAATGAAATTTCATCAATCTCACTCTCTCACACACACTTGCAAGGAAAAAAGAAAAAGAAACTTAAAAAAACCCATCATAAATAATTTACATAGAATAGGAAAATTATGATACAGTCCAAATATTAACATCTTCATCCCTAAACCGATGTCTCTCTCTGACAAAACAAAAAACCCTACACAGCCATTACTCATTACATTTAATGAAGTCATCCTCCCTTCTCCTTGGAACTTGGGGATGCCATCTGAAACACCAAAAGAAACTGAAATATTTAAAAACCTCATTAAGAGGATTTGTGAAGACAAAAAAAAATAAATCCAAAACAAAAGAAAAAACAGCAACAAAACAGACAGAAATAATTTTTAAAAAAAAATTGGTAGTATGAATACTATAAAATGTGCAATAAAGCCAGCAACTGTTGATTCCTTTCTAATGAATATAGCCACAAAATCTATTTCAAGGGAGAAAAAGTTGATTCAATATTTAGCTCATTGTGCCCTAGAAGAAGGCAGAGGTACTGTATTCTTCCATCAGGTATCCCATCTATGAATAAAATTACATCAGCCTGTGTTCTTTTTGTGAACAAAGCTCATACATCTTAAACAAAACAAGAATGTTAAACATGACTATACTATTGTTTATCTGAGTAACTGTTGTATCTGTTTAGAATAAACACTGGTATCCCTTCAGCATTATTTAAACAGTTCTATATACAGCAGACATAGGTAAAAACACAAAAATATTAAAATTAGGGTAACTGGGTATATATTAAGGTTCCATTTGTAAATTACTTATTACTATTCATTTAACTTTAAAGTATACATGACTATAACCCATGGAACCATACTTAAGTGCAGGCCATGCTTTGACAATATCTACATATTGTGATATGCTTTCAAAAGTAGCTTTAAAATATCATTATTTCTAAATGTATTATTGATGGATTATATGCTTTAAAATCAATTATCAGAGAAGGTAGCTTGGTGTGATAATCATAATAAATACTAACAAAATATTTATAAATGGAACCTTAAATTCATATGTTACCAAATTAAGTAATGGTGGCTTTGCCACCTTTTCAAAAACCCACATCAGGATTCAGGATGTCAAAGTGCTTTTTGCAGCAGAGGTGGAAAAGTGGTTCAGGTTCATTTGGCTCCACATGGATATGGTATATTCTTTATTACAAGACAATGCAGAATATGATGAAAACAGGGCAAACAGGCAACTGGAAATAATTTTTTGAAAGTCAGACAATAGTGACAGCTTCAGATGTTTAAATGAATCACTCTTCTCTTTCACATGAGAGTTTCTAGTTCAATTCTGTTTGGCCTAATGAAAGCTCCTACTAAAGAATGCTTTAGGTTGAAAATTTGACAGTTCTACCAATAATAATTTTAAAAAGTATTCCTAAGATTGTCCTAATCAACTAAGCACCTCTTTGAATCAAGACACGCTAATAATTGATCTTTAATATCCAAAGTAATTTTCACTATTGGTGTGGCCCTCTATTACTTTGCTAAAATTAGCCCCAAAAGCTCTGTGTTACTGAAGTCCAGTCTTGATCAGAACAAGGAAGTGTCAACCATAACACCCAAAAAATTAAGACACATTTTTCCTCACTTAAACGTAACAACTGATAATCATCATCCCCCCCTCTTTTTCTCCATATATATAAATACATTAAGTAATTACATTTTTTATATGTAAACGTCATTCTTTAAAAAAGACAAGTAAACAAACAAACAAGTTTTGCTAAGTTTGCACTCTACAAAAGTGTTCTAATGCATCAATCTGCTTTTGCTTCAGTGGTGGGTCCGACGTTCACGTTTAGGTTTCGTTAGTCCTGGCTGTGAGAAGGCACTTGGGTGGAAGGGTGGCTGATGCACTCCTGGTGGCTGGAAGCATCCTGGAGAGTGGAGCATGAGGAGAGAGGGCAGGAGGTACACAAAAATAGAAACTGGGAGTACCAGGTTGTACTGAGGTGTCTGGGTTGCATAGCATCTACAGTACTTTGCTGGTAATGTAGCAACCATTGCTCAAGCATCTGAAAGAAATGGGAAAATATATATTAATTGTGGTTGGGGTTCTTTTGGTTAGGAAGTCAATCACACAAGAACTCCACCATGATACACTAAAGAGATGAAGCACAATGCTTTCTGTTCTTCATTTTCCTGCAAATGTGAGGACATTTATATAAAAAACACATGTGCCTACATCTGGAAAGAGACAAGCATGTGTATGTGCAGCTATGTATCTAAATGTATATACAAAATCATATACAAGAAAACCTGGAAAAGCATTTTCTGTATTTCCAAACATTTCAGACAAGGCATTACAGACAGGCATGCTCATTAAAGGTATCTGCTCTCTTTTGCATGCCGCTTGAAAGAGGGGTGATCCAGAAGTATCTGTGCCTGCAGGACATACTGAAATAGCCTACAGAGGACAGGATATAGAGAGAGAATTCTAAGCAAGTCTCACTTAGATATTTCTACCGCATTTTTTCCAGGTGGATAGTATTAAACATCTGGGGTTTATTATTCAAACTGAGATTACTCTAGGGACAAGGGGCACTCATGGCATTTCACCGAAGGTTTATGCCATGCTATGATATTACAGATGGCTTTTCATTTAGAGGATACTATTCATTTAGATAATTTGTGCTTGTTCCACAAGCTATGAAAGGCTTAAGTATCTTCCAGACGTTTTTTGTAACTAACCTCTGCATTCATATTTGAGGTCAGAGAAATAGACCATCTCTTGAGAGAAGACAAAAAGACCTAATCGTCCACCAGCAAAAGTTGTATCATAGATTGGTCCAGAATCCACCATGACTTGTTTCCCTTCATAAACCAGAACCCTGTAAAGAAGAACATAAATTAAACAAGGATGATAACAGAGTGTCCAGTGTAAGAGCTGGTAACTATCTCTAAAAACTAAAACAGAATTAATTTTAACAAGGCACCAGAAAACCCAACCTCATTGTAGGGATCTCATCTCTATCTCACACCCACCTGGCTGGCAGTCATAACACATTAATCAGAAGCAGTGGAGCTGCTCCTTAAGTGATTTTATGCACACCATCAGCAAAAGATTTCCCAGTTCTTTATTTAGAACAGTCATGTCTCCTGGAATGAACTATGTCATGCTCTAGCATTCACTGATAAGCCCCTGTCCCAGTGAACTCAGGGGTTAGCACACGACCTTGTCACATCACTGAACAAAGCTGTCTGCAGCTGTGTGAACAGCTGATTTATTTATCTTTAGGTGCAAGGGCCAACATCAGAAATTGGAAGAACCATCACTTTAGAATCAAACAAAACATTAACTGGAGACATGTTCAATCTCAATTTCAGACATTTTAAGAGCTTAATGAAATCTGGAAGGATTTAGACACAAACAGCTAGACTAATAATAAATTGGAAAAAGAGAACTTGGTGGGTATTTTTTTGGTTTTTGGAGGGGTTTTTTTAGTTTTTCAGGCATCCACCCTGGAGACAAAAGACCTCGAAAGACAGCACTTCGTTTTCTTTCTTTATCAGAGAGACTGCATTTCCACAAACTTGGATCCTCTATTTCTCCTGGGAGACCTTGAGATAGTCTAGATTTTTAGGCTCTCAGTCTCCTGGGCCAAATGAAGAATTACTCTATAGTTTGTTAATTAGACTAGTCTTTGGAGGCAGGGATTATTGTCCTGCTTCAATTGACAATATATTAATTATACAGCAAGATGGCTTCATGAGGATGAAAAACACTTGAACAGCTTCCTAGAACTCAGGGGTTAGAACTAGTTAGAACTCAGGGGCAGATTTCTGTTTAGACAGAAATGCATGCCCAGCACTTGTAATAAAGTGTTCTGTTTCCTGAAAAGTGCACAAATACAAGTATGAAACTGCTCCCTGAGATCAGAATTAATGGATGGTAAAAGGAACAGTAAAAAAGTGACAGATTTTCAGGTTCATAAAATCCTATTTACCAGAATTCTCAAAATATCAAGAGCCCAAAACATATGGGAAGAGTTTAATAGTTCATTCAACCCACCAAAAAAATCATATCTCTGATCGTGTTCATATGGAATTGATATTTCTGTACAAATAAGATTATTTTGTGACTACATTAGTGAAAAAAATAATTGATTTTCTATCAGAACACCCCTCAAAGTATGAAGGAATTTAATCCCAAACCATAGTTTTTGCCATGGATTGATCTAATGTGATACCAGTGGCATCACATACCACTATGTAGATTCTGTAAAGGAAGTTACAGGTAACAGCAACATGAATGAAAAAAACAAAAAAAAAAACCAAAAAACAAAACAAAAAAAAATCGAGCTTCCTTTTGACCTGTATCAGTCAATGCTTTGCACTGCAATACACTGAAGCATGAAGTCCTCTCTTTCAAAGAAACAGGTAACGTAGTCTGTCCTAATTTGTCTATACTTTGCTGTTCACAGACAAATGAAAATCCCTTGCGCATAAGCACAAGGAAGACCTTTGGAGGCAAGGTCTGACTCTACCCCTGAAAAATATCCTTTACACTTCTAGTAGTTAGTAGAAGATAAAACTGACATGGGCAGTTAATGCTCTGTCTTTGGAACATCAGCTAAGCAGCTGGGCTCTACAGAAAGTCTGTTGCCACAGCTCCTTGTATGCATTACAGATGTGCATATGGCCACTTCTGCAGTGTCTTGTGTAAGCCACTACAGGAGACAGGATGCTGAAGTAGACAGGCCCTTGGCCTCCTTCCCTGAGGCAATGCTCATGTTTATAATTATTTTCATTCACTGAAATTCCACAGGCTGGGGAGCAATCTCATGTTCTAATCTTGCTTTGAGTTTTGCTCAGGAATTTTTGGTCTCTTTACAGAAAAGTTATTGAGAAAGATTTTTTTTTTCTTTAATTTAAGGGTATTTAGCTGATGTAAATATTGAACCATCCAGACTAAATTAAACACATCTGAAAAGGAAAATAACTTGTTCTGAAGATAACAAAATGTTCCCAAATACTGGACAAACTGTCACACAAGTAACACAATTATCAGAAACAACAATGAAACTGATAACATAGCTTCTGAATCAACAGAGACAAAAGCATTGCTACTAGAAAATGCAGAGGTACAGAAATATTTCTTACTTTATTAATCCTGTTTTAGGCCTGTGAACCAAATGCCACCTGTAAGCAGTATAATCTTTCCAGCCAATGTTCTTGGGATCATGCCACAAAGTACGCACCTACAGAAGGAATACAAATGCCTTATTAGAAACATGCCATGCCCCAGTAACTCTATGTCCACCAGAGCAACTGCCAAAGCTTATTTTCTGCAGAGTATGAAACTGAAAATAGTTTAATGTTTGACTGTATCAAAAGACTTATTTTATGGGGTGAGCGTAATGGAAATTTCTGTCTTATCATCTGCAGTTTCATAACTCGAGTCACTTAAGACCATTACAGCATCGAACCCTGACTTCCCTTATGACATCAGAGAATCAGCTGAATTCGAAGAGATCCACAAGAATGATCAAATCCAACTCCTGTCCATGCAAAGGACCATCCCCAAGAGTCACACCATGTGTCCAAGAGTAACGTCTAAATGCTTCTGGAACTCTGGGTTTGCACATCCACACAACCAGGCTGACAAGTCGATGCTGCATGAGTGCCTCCAGTGAGACAGAGGAACTGCAGCTTGCATAAATATTACTGCCTGTGGCTGCTCCTTGAAAACTTCCACCCAGTAACGGTTCTGTCAATTCCTATCCACACGGGAAGCCCTACTAACCTAATTTCCAAAATGAATAAGTTTCTTCCATGTTTGGACCCTATTTGTAACAGCAGCGGTTTTTTTCTCTTTTTTAAATGTCTTTTATCTTTTTTTGTCACTGGTCACTGTACTCTAAACCATGTAAAACTCAAACTGGAACAGCAAAGGAGCAAGTGTCAATACAGAAAGAAGCAAATGATTTGTGCATAAATGAGACATCTCTCTCATTTTCCTTTTGATTACATCTCATCTTCCCTTTTATACATGTGATTTTCTTTGAAATACAATTCCTGTGTTACTATTGGCACTACTAATAACAGAATTGAAGAAAAACTGATAAACATCCACAAAAATTGAGATTGAAAGGAAATTATTTTTGAAACATGTCCATTACTTTTAAAATATTAGTCATGCACTGTTAGCCTGAAGTTTTAAATCTCTCACCTGTCCAGGGGTGTTTCCTGTGTGCCAGAGAGCATTTCTTAAATGTTCACCAGTACCAGTTGTTGAGTTCACTACTTTGAGTGACACACCAGAATAGCCATAAGCCCTGGTGGGTTTGTCCTCCCAATAGGTCTGAGTGACCTGCTTCCACATCAGAACATAAAACCGACTGCTGGACTGGTAGCCAAACACAAAGCCAGCATAGTCATCGTCACGATCTGTGTTAACATAGAACGTCCCGCTGAAGTCAACAGAGCTGAACTCATCATAGCCTGGGAGAGGACAAAAGAGACAAACCATTGAGTTGGAATGCTGAGTCCAGTTACACACAAGAGTCCCAGCTACATCCTGAATTTTGGTAGGAGACATAAGTGCTATTTCTCAGTGTCCTCACCTGTAGAAGAGGAGGTAATTACACTTGCCTTCATGGAGACTTCTGGAGAGAAATAAGTTGCTTACAAGGGGCATTGAAGACATCAGGCACTATACTTACGTTTTTTAAATTGTGTATTTTATGTATGTTCCAGTCAGTGATGAGATGAATGGACAACAAATGCAGGCAGCTTTGAGCTGTTTATACTTTGGGCATACACACTGCCTCTGTGGTTAGTCCAAAGTTTGCAGCACCAAAAAGGTGCATTACCTTTTTTCCCCTTTCCTTATCACAGAACCACTGGTTAATTTTCTGAAGATGACTGCCATCTGATACTCACCTACAGCTATTCCAGGATCAGAGTTAGCAGTCTGCACCAGTTCCTTGCCTTGGTGGCGAATAACCCAGTTGGGATCAATCTGAGCTGTTCCCTTGGGGTCCAGAGGGACCATCTGAAACTTTCTGAAATCAGTTTCACTGATGGCATTGTTTTCAGGGCACACATCATAAATATCTGGAACATTGTCATTGTCGAAGTCATCTTTGCAAATATCACCTCTGCCATCACCTGTAAGCAATGTGAATAAGCAGAGGCAATTGTTAGCAATTTATCCAGCCCCAGGCTATACACCACTTTGGAATCAGGGTGGGAAAAGTTGGAAGTTTGCTATGTCAGTGTAATTCACTAATGCTTGAACTACATTTTCAGTTTGATTTGTTCCAGATGTGCATACACCACCACATTTTAATACGTATTGTGCACATAAATTCAAAGAATAGCATTAAAATCTTAATCATCTACACATTACTAAATCTTTATATATCATTGATCAGATTAAACTTTTTTCAGACTCTTATCTCTGTCCTAAGATTTTTTCTGCAACAATATATGTAAGATGCTTCAGACTGCAGATATGTCACCTCTATGTCAAAAGAAAGGGGGGAGAGTGTTGCAGTAAAGTATGCATACACGCTTAGCCACTCTTTCATTTGTAGGTAGAACAATTTGACTTATAAAAACATAGTGCTTCAGAAAAATGCAGGAAAAAAGAAGGCAGCACTGCATTCAACAGGACTAGCCTCAGAGGAATGAAAAAATTTTGTTATATGTATTACAGGAAGATTTTTAAAGAACAAAAAGTACAGCTCATCTGTAGTTGTGCTTCTGCTCAACACTTTTACTACATTCAATATTTTAGAAAAACTAAAAACTATTTCCTTTCTTAGTTTACCCATAATATTAATGGAAACCAGGAGATTTGACTTGCCTCAAATAGCAAGAATTGAAAGGAGGCATGTATAGGAAAGCTCATTGCCCATCACTATTATTCCAAGGCATACAATAGCAGAAAGACCTGAAAATAACGCAGAAAAGCTTGGCCAGACAAGTATAGAAACAAATTCCCAAATGACTCCAACTTTTACAACAGAAACCACTGGATATTACACTGGGTACTCATGCAGAACCAGTGCTGCCAAGTAATTTGTTTCTATCCTTACACAGCAGAGCATCTGCTTTCTTGGGTTTTGGTCTTTTTTCCCAGTGTTTATGATTGCCCTAAAAACATGGGAATTAATACAGTGGGAAATAGCATAATTGAATGCCCCAGCTCATTCAATACTGACCTACTACTAGATGTTTCACAGAAAAATGGAAAGCTACGTTATCATCACTAGCCAATACAGTATTACCCAAATATGGAGCTTTAAGTCAGAAAGCAGAATGAGTTTTAGGCAACAGCCAAAAAGAAAAGAGGAATTAGAGAAAATTGAAATATCTAGTATCTCAAGGTTCTCTGCAGCTCAGATACATGGTAAAATGGTCTCATTTTCCACGCTGGATATCTGCCATAGACAACTCCAAATCCTGACCAGCTGTGTGTTCCTCCACCTGTTTGTCTTAGTACTCAATGGAGAAAAGAGGATAAATTTCCTATTTTATTTCCTTTGCCAAATCAAAGAGATAATTCACAGAAGAATTTAATTAGTCACTCAAAGTCCAGCTGATGTTCATTTGGTAGTGAGTTGCTGCTGACAACATTCATTCCCTGTCAAGGAAAGTTAGAAAGTGTTTGTTTATCCAGTCACATCCAACAGCTCTCTCCAGGGCCTCATCTTTATATGCTAAAACTCACATCTTCAAGAGCCTGGTAGCAATTTTTGGCTTTATATACCCCTTTTCCAAGAACTCTGTTGGACCTGCTGCTAATGACAGTGATGAGCTGGCTAAAATGATTAATTATATGCTTTTTCTGAATTGCTAATCCATAAATCAATGTGGTTTCCTTTATAAGAACCAGGTAAGACTTCAACTACCTCAGCTTGGGGTCACCATTATTCTGGATTTATGAAATTTAAGGGGCTATTCCAGAAATTAGCAAGTACAAAGATATTCTGGACACATATTATAGGACTGAAAAGTTATATAAACTAAGAGCTACTTCTGACTACCAACCAGAAACTTCCTACTGACAGCACTTGTCTTACCAGGAAATCAGACAAGGCTCAGCGTTTTACCTTTCTAAAGGCACATAAAAAATATATTGTGTAGGTAGCAAATTCTGCTTTCAATTTCTACAGCACAGCCATGGAATGGCTCCAGCAAGTTGTTTAACTTGGAATGGAAATTGCTTACCTGCATTTATTGCACGGGTCATTACTCTAAACATATTTGGTGGTTTTCAAAGGATCATAAACATTGCCAAAATGAAAATTATAATTGTGAAAATTTCTATTTCATTATTTAAATAATGCCAAGTACAGAGAAAGACTGTTTGAGGTGACCAACAACATTTTAACCAAAAAAACTGAAAAAAGAGAAATTACATGTCCATTTTTTAAACTGTGACATATTATAATATCAAGACATATTTAAAGCAGTCTGTAAAGAAAATTTGAGAAAAGCTGCTCAGGAGTCAGTTTAAAAAAAAAATTAAAAATTACTATTACTTTTAGACTTAAAGAATCCTGAAGAAATAGTCTGTTTTTCAAAATAAAACAGAGCAGCAAACCATATTTTTTTCCATTTTAATTTTTAGATGGTGACTTGTTTTGAAAGTGAAACAGCTCACTTCATTATTTTAAGACAACTGTAATTCAACTCAAACATTTTCTGACACTTAATATTTCAATTAAATGTGAAAGTAAGAATATTAACAAAAAGATTCTTTTGTTTTTTTAAAAAAATTTGTTAAAGGTTTTCTTCTAAAATTAAGTAAGTCCATGTTTGAGCTCCTGTCAAAGATGTTTCCTAATGCCCTAAGCCTTGACCAAACTGACCAGTTCAGTTCCATCATCCATGGTGTCTCAAATCTCAAATGCAGCTCAGTTTGATGCAAAGTCTCTCTTCACCAGATGCTAATACTCCTAGACCAAAATCAGATACTAACAACTAAATGAAATTCATATGACCTTGTTCTTACCATCTGAGTCCTCCTGCCCAGGGTTGTATCTGAGGCGGCAGTTGTCCCTGTCATCTGGGACACCATCATTGTCATCATCAGGATCACAGGCATCTCCTTTACCATCCTGATCGTGGTCAGCCTGGTTAGCGTTGGGGATGTAAGGGCAGTTATCCTGGTTGTTCTGATGGCCATCTTCATCTATGTCCTCATTGTTGTCACACTGGTCGCCAACAAGGTCATTATCCACATCAGTCTACCCCAAAAAAACAATTGTACAGAGTGATTTTATTATTTTTACTCAATACAAAGATACAGCCTGGTACTTGTCTGTTCGACATCTCTCTTCAAGGGCTTCTGTAGTGACAAATACCACAATGACAACCATGATTAAAGCACAAGCGTAACTTCAAGCTAGTATGGCTACTTATTCTTCTATCAGTGGGTAAGATCTGCTCCCCAGGATATTTGCAGGGCAGGGCTTTATTTGTGGATGGATTAAAGTGATCATCACTGTACTTCTCTTTCATCTGATACAAAGGGATCTCTCAATATGAGATGTGAAAGTAAGCAGTATAGATCCACCTCTTCAGCTGTTCAGTACAGGGACTGATAGCAACTCCTGCGCTCTTTTCTGTGCCCTTGTTCTGATGTTACCATTAAGGAAACAGTTTTCATCATTTACCTGGTCTGGATTATGCATCAATGGACAATTATCACACTGATCACCAACTCCATCACCATCTGTATCACTCTGGTCTGTGTTGTAGACGTAAGGGCAATTATCTCGTTCATTAAAAATGTCTAGGGGAAAAAAAGCAACAAAATATTGAAAAAATATCCAACATAGACCGTAGGAGTCACCATTAATGAGACAAAGCTCTTAAGAGGTTCATAAGCTTTCTGATTGCTTCAACATCATTACCACAAAATGAAATAGTTAAGACTAATATTAGAAAGAAAAAATATGGTATCAATTCCATTTTTCTTGCTATGATGAAGTTTTCTATGAAGTTCTACTATGAAGTATTTTTCTATGGAATTTTACTGGAATAAGGGCTGGTTATGTCCTGAGAATTTAGTCCTTTTTCATAGAAAAATAGATATAGGGGTGGGGTGATTTTCTTTTTGAATAATATTTTCTGGATTATCTTCCCCCACTCTACAAAATGGCATAGAATGCACAGCTGTATCAGGTTCAAACTTCTGTATAGAAACAACTGTATTAATATTCAGCTGCCTCAGCATTAAGTAACTTAATTTTACCAGAAGATGTGCATCATTCATTGTATAACATGCCAAATTTTCAAAATAAACTGTTCCTCAGGAAACTTCATTATAAAATTAACAGTCTACTTCAAAATTGTAGGATGAAAAGAAAAAAAAAACACATATTGGCATATCTTTATGGTATACAAGGACCCTTCCCTGTATTATATGGACCCTGTATATTTGCATAATCTTTCACCCAATATCATATGATTGGGATTTTCTCCAAATGCAGAACTGCCAGGAGTACTAGTACAAACCTGAGGATCAGAAGGAGCATGAGAGAGCTTTAAAATGTTCAGAAGCTAAAGTCAGATAATCACCCAAACGTTAAAAAACGTTTATTATTTATTATTGAGGAAAAAACAAAGCTAGATTTCTTCAACTTTTAGTATTTCTGTATCCTCACACATTTTAAATGTTCAAAAATCATGCCCCTGCAGCATTATTTAAGTGTTTTTCCCCCATCTTAATTCTGCTCAAATTGAAGCTACACAGGAATGTACTGGTGGAGGAAATAAGCACTTTTAACAATATTTTAAGACATACCAAAGAATGTGTATTTGGATTACTCTAAGTTCTGCATATTTATACGTTCATAGAAAAGCAGATTAGTTTACTATGGATATTGTCTTAACTGTGTGAATGTTCTGATGCTCCTTTCCCTCCCTAAAAGGAAAAGTCAACAGAAGTGTCATATTAGACCCTGATTACTTTGGAACACAGATGAAGGCAAGATTTTTTAAGATTACACTGATAAAAGACTTGCTGTGATTTATTCTTTAGTAATATTAATTGTAGTCATTTAGGAACTGTATGGGCAGCTATACTACACCGGGCAGACAAACCTCAGCTTTCTGTGTCTTCTCCCACAGTTTTGAGCTTCTAGACTCAATTTTATTCCACGTATAAAAGGAAGTAGCCCATCTTACTGGACATAAAGCAAAATGCACTTGTGGAACAGCACTTAATTCTCAAAAGTGAAATCATACCATCTCCATCAATGTCCACAGCACACGAGTCACCCTCCCCATTGTTGTCTGTGTCAATCTGAGCAGGGTTGTGCACATAGGGACAATTGTCACAGCGGTCACCAACTTCATCTTTGTCATAATCAAACTGGCGAGGGTTGAACAGAAGAGGGCAATTGTCCTAGTAAGAAAAAAAATAGATTTCACAATATAAATCACAACTCGCGAGAGCATACAATGAAATGGTAACTCCTGTTCATCTTGGACAGAACTCAAAAATCAAATATTAATACATTATTTTTTCAATGGACAAGCTGTACCTATACTGAAGGTCTTGGAGGTAACAGGATGGCAAGTGGACAGCCTGGCTCACTGTCTGTTTTGGACAAAACATATGAATTTTGTTCCATATCTCACAGGGAGAGCAACAAGCATTTTAAACAGGACCTGTACTCAGACATTTAAATAAAGGTGTATCACTGGTACATGTACTTAAAAAAAAAAAATCAGAACATGTCACAAAGTCAGGTCAACTTCAGCTGCATTTTATAAGTTTTGAAAAACAAAAAAAGAAACAACTAGAACTGTTACTCTGACTTTTTTGGAACAAACTAGTGTCGGTACTTTCAAGTTTATATCACACCTTTTTATTTGTTTAAATTGAAAAATCCTGTCATCTTGTTGGCTGTCTTCTACTGAATAAGATAATAAAATGTAAAAAGTTTTTTAAAGTGTTAAAATGAAATACTCTCATTTACCAAAAATAGTTTTCCGAGACCTCTTAATAGAATTTTTACAATTTCCTATCACTTTAATTTTAAAATCTGCCAGAAGAATAATTCTTATACTTCACACATTCCCAAACTGCACATGGAGTTTTGCACAGGCACAAGAAAGTACTCAGTGTGAAATGCAACAAAGAAAGAAAGAAAACCAAACCAGTGGGAGTGAGGGCTACATCAGTGGAATGGAATCTAATGGGAAGTCATAAGGAAAAAAAAAATCATTAAACTAATTTTTCCTCTGCTAAATAGAAAAAACCCACACTTAAAAGGAAGTAATTTTTAGCACAATATTTTAAATTCCCCAGAAATACATTTCATATAATCAAGGGCAACATATAGAGGCAAGTCAAAATCTTATGCTGTTCATAAAATAATTTCAAGGTACAATTTTAAAAAATGCAGATACTAAATCATATTACTTTATCAAACAATTCTTTAGGGTTTTTTTTAAGTTTTTCAAATAGAGACCAAATGAACACAGTTCTTATCCAACTTTAACCATCTGAAGCTCTAGATCATATAGGTTCCCTCTGAAGGGAACAAGGAGAAACTGTAAAATTCTAATACCAATTCACTCACCCTAAACATGTTTTGAAAATCCAGGGTGAAGCAAATTCTCAAAGTGCCTCTTTTTGTTGAATATACAAGGCAACAGTTTTAGACTAAGTGACTATCACTTAGGCTCTGCAGGTAAATTAATTTGTCCTCTAAAGGAAAGTATAAACCAGGCTAGGTATTTTCCTGCCATCATTTTCCTTTGGTACTGGCTGTGTTTATAGTCATTTCAGAAACAAGTAACAATGAATAAAAGTAACATCATCTATATAATATTTACCAGCTTTTCAAATACAGTAGGCTTGTCATTCTCCCATTACAATACAAAATTTCCACTGAACTGTTTTCATGTACATAATTCAAGACTGATACCAAGAACAAAGCTCCTGAGGTTCCCCAAGCTGTTTTGCTCTGCACAGTACTACTTTCCTTTGTCTGAGTAAAGCTCAGAGAGTAAAACTGTAGTGCAGCTTTATTCTGCACTACACAACATTCAGGGAAGGAAGTGCAGAATAACTCAGCTGAAGCTCTGAACAATGAAGTTCACATCTATTGTAATCATTTTCCTTACAAGCAGATGTTTAGGTCAAATGTACTGCAGAGAGATACACATCTTACTTTGTCATCTTCAACACCATCATTGTCATCATCCTCATCACAGGCATCTCCTTTGCCATCTTTATCAAAGTCTTCTTGGCCCGAGTTAGGCAGAAGTGGGCAGTTATCCTGGCCAAAAGAAATAATCAGTACATTATGTTTACATTATGTCAGAATAACTTGACTGGGCAGAAGAGCAGATATGGTACACCAGAGACTATAAAACAAGAGCAATCAGCAAAGTACTTTTTAAAGTGCCTTTTTTTGCTGCCAAAGGTAGTATTCATTTGCTGCTTTCATATTGTAAAGTAAGTGAAATGCAGCTGCAAATCATTCTATTTCCCAGCTGCTATTAAAGTGACGTTTCTAGTAAATTTTGGAGGGAACTAGCAGAAAACAAACACACCACACGCACAGACATACACTCTTACATCAACTCTTTATAGACAATTCATGAGATATGTTTGAAGATTACACAAAAAATGGCCAGGTTTCATTGCCAGAAAAATAAAAATAACAAGCGAAGAGAAGGTCTTCAGAAACAGCTGTTCATATGGAAAGCTACTACACAGCAGTGGAAAGTACTACACAGCAATGAAGGGGAACACTAAGATTTTGAAAAAAGTGTCTTTATACTGTTCTGCAAAACAGTACCTTCACACTCCCATGGCTTTAAAAATAAAAGACTAGCAGATCTCTTTATTTTGTATCACAGCTTTGTAAGGGAAGATTGTTTTAAATAAACAATTAAGTTACACTGAAAAATAAGAATTAAAATCGCCTGCAATACTTTCAACACGTATTTTTTAAAAAATACTAAAATGGATTACCATTCTACCACTTGCTATGGATTAAATGCCAATACTTTCAACACGTATTTTTTAAAAAATACTAAAATGGATTACCATTCTACCACTTGCTATGGATAAATACATCTGTGAAAAAACACTGTTATTTTTACTCACATTCCAGATCTACCTCACCCAAAACTGAATTTGTCAAAAGAGTGCAGAAATATCTCTTTTGTAACACATACACTGAAAAATGAGTATTATAGTAAGATGCTTTCAATCTCAGTGGTTCTAATAGTACAGACAATTTAAGAAAAAGAGAACAGGAAATATTGTGATAAATATCAGATCCCCAAAATTTTTACCAAATACCTGTAAAGAGTCTTGACTATCCACCTCAACACTGGTTACCAGTGATACAAAAGTTTTTTTGAAACAATGAGAGAAATTAGTCACATGAGTAAAATAATTTTCAATCATTATCAGATCAAGTAAAGAAGCTTTTTAAAATCAAATTACTCAACTAGGATATTTTGTAAAGAACACAAGGACCTGAAAATCTCTGGTACTTTTAAGGGGTTTTTTAAGGGCAGGTGGAGAGGCCCCCTTAAATGAAGTACTTGTGTCTATTAGATCAAAATATATTACACAAAACATGAAAAAATCTTTGGAAACAGGTTTTTTTCTGAATAGGTTCAGTATGTTGTGTTTAACCAAAACTAATGTTTTGTGCTTCATCATGAGTGAACATGTGCAAATTCTGATGACAGGAACTGAAAGAACTATATATGAACTGCAACAGCTAAGTTGGCTGAATTCACGAGGAAAATACATCAGTTGCAGTGAAGAACATTTGAGGCCCAAATTTCCATCTATATCTGAAATTTTTCAGCTGATAGAGCCCAGATTCACATGAATGACTTATTCTCTCCAACAGCCTGATTTCAGACTTTCCTAGTCTCTTAGTCTGTATTTGTTTTAACCACTATGGTATTCTGGAGCTCAGTCATTTTTGCATTCCTTTCCATTTTTTTAAGCAGGTTTTGTGCTAGAACTTCAAGAAGATTTATAGATCACTTTAACATGGAGAAAGAGAAGCAAAAAGGTTTCAGGTCTGGAAAAAGAAATCCTAAAAAAACCTCAGAAGAGAAAGCTTTCCATTACAGCCATGAGTGATTAGCAAAATACTTGAGGGTCTGCCTAGTGAACATACATAGATAATCCAGTGTTGTCAGTGGTCCCACAGGTAGATCTTTAGAACTGAACACCTGCATATGCCTTCTACTCTGACAAAACTCCTCCATCCCAGCTGCTTAATTTGCTGCTGCAAACAGTGTATGCTCCACTGTATTGTGCCTGTCATTCAACCATCAGCAAGGCCACCACTCAGAACTATGATCCAAGGAATTGCCTGTCAAGGGGTGCCTTTGCCCCTCAGCTATTTGGGCCACTGTTAAACAGGTGGAACAACTTCCAGCCTGGTTTCATACAGCATCAGGATAAGACCTACAAGGAGGCTCAGCATTTTTGAGAAATTCCGATTGGAGGGAACCTCAGGCCATGAAACCAAGAAGGACTTATTGTGTACTTCAGATGAGCACAGAATCAGGCCCCAGGGAACATACCACATGGATACACCCTACTAAACCTACTTGCCACCATTTTTAGGCTCCCTGATGCTAAATTTTTCTCATTGGTGTAGTAATGTTTCATCATTCCCTATAACAGCACATCTGCACAGCAAGACTGGACAGGTGTAGAGCCAATGGTGGCAGGCAGGTCAGGTCATTCCCCTTGGGAGGGTGAGAACTGGGATTTCACATCTCAGGGATTAGAGGGGCTGACTCTCTCACCCTATCCCTGTGAGCCTTTGCAATAAGGAGAACTCTAATAAGTCACATTCATTCCTCTCTCAGGCTCTTATTGTTAAAAATTATCTCAGGCTCTGAATCCAGTTTTCACAGTGTGTGGTCTGCTTAACTCTTTAAAAGGAAGGGATGTTCAAGACAGCATTTTGAACTCTAGCCCTTTCATGGCTGTCAGTGTCTTTTCACAAGCCCTGCAGGCTGGATTTCACACTTGCCTGGGCCCTGAGATCCCTGTCTCGTTCTCACTAGCAGTGTGCTTCACACCCATGCTTTAGGCAACTCCTGCTCAGTGTGCTAACTCCATTCACAAGCATCCCAATTGTCCATGTAGGACATGTTGTCTGAGTAGGAAGAAATCCAAAGCAGAGGGATCTGGATTTAATTTTCAGAATCCCTTAATGTATCTTACCAGATGAAGTAAATACATTTCACAGCATCTCCTAGAAAACAAGCATGCTATAATAGTCAAAGCTTACTGAAAGCAATCACCAACTTAATGAATTAAAAGGGTTACTCACAAATATTTAGGAAAAGTTAAAATTTTGTTAACACATGGCATTTGTATTAATCTTTTCCACCTACCTTTACACAGTGGTATGTTGCATTAGCAGCACAGACCAAGTTGTTATTAGGCCAGCCATCCAAATCTGAATCCTCACCACAGATGCGTCCGTCACCAGCATAACCTGTCCTACATTCACATTTGTACATTGGATCACTGAAATGGCCCAGATAGATGCACTCTGCAGACTTATGGCAGCTGTGTGTCTTGTCCTTGCATGGATTCTCAGGTTCACAGACCTATAAATGATGGACCATATTCATTGAAACCTGATAATCACAGCCAGCTGTGCATGCCTCAACTTTGTCAAAATCAGACCAGTTATTCAGAGGTTCAAAGACAGGAACTTTGTTTTGATTGTGGTTAGTAAGTCATACTGCTCTATCAGTTCACAACTCAAACAAATATGTACAATGATAATACTTAAAACAAACCACAGGAAAAATTGGACATTATTTAAAAAGAAATTAAAGTTGTTAACAATTTCAGTACTGTATCTACCTTCTTCCAGATGTCACTAAACCCAAGAAATTACCTGCAACAGGAGACAGTACTCAACTCTTTTCTTTAGAATTCTACCTAACAGTATAAAAGGACTATCTTATTAAACGAAACAGACCCTAAGGAATTCTTGTGCTCACCTCACATAGGTTTTTGTTACCTCTTCCTTATCATTATGTTTCACTGTCAGTATTTGAGAATCCTACACAGATGGTTCACGTGTAGAATTCACAAACTGAGCAAACCACAGATTGATTCAACAGCAACAAAGAGAAGGCAAATCATGATTTCCACTTTAATGTTTTTGTATTTTCTAGGGAACTGTCCTCTTCAACCTCACTTCTACTTCCTGCTGTCCTTCTCTGAAAAGCTGTGGCCCAATAGAATTTAGGGAGTGAGAACTTCAGACATATGTCTGATAACACTGACATTAACAGCATCATATTTATTAAAAAAGAAAATAAAATCCTAATTCCTCAGTTTCCACTCTCCAGAACAGGTATGTTAACCTCAGAGAAAGGACTGCTAAGCAGGGAAATATTTGCTCCTGGAATTTTAGGCTCATTTGGTATAACTGTGCATATGCCTAAAGAAAATAAAACCCTTAAAAAAGCCAATCCCAAATTCAGTGTTTTGTTACTCAAAACAAAAATACTCTGAAATTACAATTATTTATTTCAGGCTATTTTGGTTTGGTACCCGAGTTTATCTTATGCCAACATTCAAAGATATTTCAGATGAGAATTATTCAAAGCCATCAAATTTCCTTCAATATCACTTACTTGCTTCTCTGTCTTGGCAACTTCAAGCCCTACTCCATAGGGCTGACTTCCTTTATAGCGTGGAGGACATGGCAAGCAGTGGAAACCTGGATTTGTGTTCACACAGCGATGGACCTGATTCACTTTAAAGCAAACATCTGACACAGCTATACACTGCTGGGCATGCCCCACATGACCAAGACCCATCCGGGTAACTGTTGCATTCTGCTCCAGGAAAGCAAGGATTTGACAAACACCCATCTGGCAAAGACACACAAAACTGAAAATTAGGTAAGGAGCATAAAAGGCATGTCTAAAATTAAATGTCTAAAACTTAATTTTAGAAAGAAGTATTCTCTGATCATTACCTTAAATCACACTTGATGCAACAGACACTTACAAAACCCCTTAAGTTAGGCTTATTAAGAGCATTTAAAACTAAATACTGTTGATTTAATATGAAAAAATTACAGATGGCTACATCCAGTGGAATACATTGTAGCATATTCAATCCCTACTTAAGAAAGGCATACTTGTTCAAGAAAGCTAGTATCACAAATATATATAAAATCCCACTAAACAGCACTCAAAATATTTAAATGTTGTCTACTGAACCAAAGGTAAAATTAGCAGATTCCTGTAGTGTCACTTCATAACTACTCATTAAAGAGGTGACAGCGATAATAATTACTCAGCCCAAATAAAGAGTGAATACCAACCAATTGGACAATCCTTCTTATTGCACATATCATGTTGTTTGGTGTCTCCCACACACGGCTTTCCTCCATACTGTGGCTCTGGACTGTTACAGAGGCGAGACCTCTCACGAATTCCTCCTCCGCAGGTAACAGTGCAGGCAGACCACGGAGACCAAGGACCCCACTGGCCATTCACTAGGATATGTAAAAGAGCAGAGAATCACAGGCAGTAAAGTGAGGACATCTGGCACCAATGACAACAACCCTTCATCAGATCCTTGACCAGGGAGAGTTTCTCACTATGTACATAGGAAGATGATGGCAGATGTTTGCACCGAGATAGCAATATTTCAAAAACAAACAAGTGAAAAATACCCAACTGCTTCATAGGCAAAACAGCATGCCATGCCCACTGGATATGCAAAGAGAAAAAAAATTAAATGAAAGTGAAAGTGGATGGAATGAAAGGTCTCTAAAAAGATTAAAAGTGTAGACTAATAAAGAATCACAATAGCAATTAATTGTGTCGAATATGGAAAAAATGCAAGCACAAATATCGAAGAAATCTGACTATTGGGGGATTCTATGTCTACTCCTAATAAGTACAGAGACAGCTTCCTTTTAAAAAGGAAGTGTTTATTTTTGATAAGGAGAGATATACCACTAACATGGAAATTTCTCAAACTCTTAATATTTAAAGCCAAATTATAACTTGAAAAGCTTACAAAAACTCTGACTGCATTGTTCTCTTCATTTTCAAAACACCCTTGTGTATTATTTCACTCATAAAATAAAATTGTATTTTCCATCACAAATTCACTGCCATTTAGATCTGAACAAAGAGAAGGAATTCAGCTGGAATATTATTGTGTCACTTTTGATTCAAGACCACAGACATACCTGGACATGGAACCTTCTCACACTTCTCCGTTTCACGCCCATTCCCCACACAGTTTTTTCCACCCATCTGAGGAATAGGAGAATTGCAGAGGCGGATGCGGGTGATATTTCCCACTCCACAGGTAACTGAACAGGAAGACCAGGGAGACCAATGACTCCAGCCACCATCCTGACGTACTGCCAGAGAAAAGAGCAAAATTCAAGCAAACAGCCCACCTGCAGCAGTAATACAAAGTCACTTGTGTGGTTAGTCTTCTAAAGAGCCCCCCCAGCACATCTGATTAATGTCCCATCTCTTTCCCACCATTTCACTTCCGAAGCCCAGCATGCCAGCTCAGGTGCCCAAGAACAACTTTCTTAGGAATTTCAGTAACCAACAATTACATCAGACATTTTACTTAAAAATAATCTTCTCCAATGAAGCAAACACTTGTTCAAAATGCACATTTGGACATCTACAAGTCTCATCTGCTCCATATTGCCTTAGGTACTATGTTAGCCGGGATATCACAGGTACTTGCAGTAGCATTAACTACTCTTCTGGAATATCATCCTTGTAAGTGCCTTAAATATAAAAGCAGTTTGATATTTTGCAGAATTCTTCCATGATTACTGTGCTCCTAAACACAGCTAAGTTAATGGACTGGCCCAATAATCAATGAGTGGCAGATGTAAACAGAACATTGCATATCATGTTTACAAAGTGTTGTCTCCAAACTGAGTTCAAACAAAACACTCCAGCTCATAACGTTAAAGAAAGGATCACTCACAATCTTTTTTATTTTTTTAACGTAGCTGACCCCAGAATGTACACACCTATTAAACTGTCAGGAAAGGGAGGAATACCTGAAAGGGGAAAACTGGCAAAAAATCTAATGACAGCTACTTTAATTGTTCATATAGGATTTCTCAAGTACATACTGTCCTGACTAAACTTGGTTTTGCTTTGAGATGTCCAAAGAAGCTTTTAGAAAGGAAGAAATGTATTACTTACTGCGATGGTCGCATTTCTTAAAGCTGCACATCCTTGTTTGGATGTGTGGGCCTGTACAAGCACTCCTGGTGACATCACACGACCTTCCTCGCATCTGTGTCCCAGAGCCACAGGTAACTGAGCACTTTGTCCAGTCTGACCACGGTGACCAGCCCTCCTCACTGTCATCAGCTGCAGAGGAAAAGGTAAGAAAGTGCTTAACTTTGAAAGTTGCTCTATTATCCTATTATACAGAGAATATTCTCTTATCTTTTTCTGCAGAATACGTACTTTAACATTTAGATCTCTCCTTTTCTAATTTTGCTTTCCCAAGCTGCCACTGATGTTACAGAATTATGGTGTAATATGAGAGGTTAGTTCAGATAAGAATCCTAGATCTTCATGAACTTGTGTGCAGCATGTTTGCATGATGCACTGATCTTTGAAGGAAGAACATCTTATCTCTATAATGGACCCAGCCAAAACCTGAGTCCAAAATGCCTTTGATTTGAGAATATAGGTCAATATGATGAGATGTGGCCCCACCTTTGAAAGCTACATAATGGTGAACATGAACAAGAGCACATTGTAAGAATACACCCTATGCTCTGAATGGGCAAAAAAATGTGAAACATGACTGTGGAGAAGAATGCTTTTAACATTCTATGCCCAAGGTAGCTAAGCAGGTTATCATCTTAATTCCAAGCAGGCAATATAATCAATGAAGACAGACCATGTCCTTCAGAGGGTAACTCCAAGCACCCAAGTTATTTTGCATAATCTTTGTATACATACAAGTTCTATATTTGATCTTAGCTGCCTTGACATCTTGCTTCTTTTGAGCTTTCAAAAACACTAGTAGTGATTTTAAATAATGCCAAAGACCATCTTTCTCCTCCTAAATACTCACAGTGAGAGCAGACTGGACAGCATTCACCTTCAACAAAAGCTGGATCAGCACAGGAGACTGCTGGGCAGGTGATTTGATTGCACACAATTTTGGAATCCTAAAGGCAAAAAAATCAATTTACTGATTTATGGTCACAGAGAGGTACATGAAGGTGGGCATCTGGGGAAGCTTCTTGTGTGGAAATGTTTTGATTTGCTCTATCATGGACAGGAGACAACTTTTTATAAACTTCATTAAGTCCAGCCAAGCTCTAAGTAGTCTACTGATGTGGATGGCTGAGTTGGAATTCCATTTCTGCAGAAAAGAGTATTTCCAAAACCTTACCCGGCAAACGCACTTGGTGCAGCTATCCACAATCCAGCTTTCATTATCTGCAAAGACACGGCCATCCTGCCAGCAAACTGGTTGGTTCTTCAGTGTTTTGTTAGGCCCAATCAGTTCCCACATAATTTGGTTCTCTTCAGACTAGAAGATGAAGTTAATGAAAAGAAATTGCATATTTCATAAGCAAACTGTTGTAAATAGACAAAACTGAAATATGACTGGACTTAATTCTTTCGTCAAAAAATGTATTTTTACATATTTATATACATAAGGAAGATGGTCTTAAGTACTGCAGTCCTGCATAGCAATTCTTCTAGCAATGGTACAAACAGTCACACAATACTAAGGGAGATTTGTTCTTAGTCACTTTGCTTTCCTCTAGCACAGCTCATCTTTAGGTGAGAAGATTTTAGTCCTGACACTTATACTAATCCCTTCAGAAATAATTAGCTGATTCAGAATAAGAAGAGAGGCAGGCATCAGCAAAACATCACCATAATAGTTCAACAATGAAAATCCCATACATTTGTTTGCAGTTTAGGTACCCCATGTAGCCACTTACTGATGTATTCATAAATGGTGTAGACATGGTAATAAGGCTTTAACAGTATGCAAGCAAGGTTGGGATTGCTAGCTTTCAATTTCCAAAGCTTTAGAAGGGTTTTCACTGTGCATAAGGGCATGTGTGTGTGTGCTCTTTTAAACCCAGTCTGAAAACCAAGCCTTGATTAAGCAAGCCTTGTTACAATCAAGAACTACCAAACACTTAAAGTCTCAAAGAAAAGAATCTTTACATTAAAAAAAAAACCCTTTACATTATGTAGACATACTTGCAGGTGCTCATATGTAAAACAGAAATCTCTATTAAATGCCCCATCATAAAATAAGGAATAAAGAACTGCACAGCAGACCTCAGTCAGTTCTCCAGACTTGCAGGTACTTACTACTTTTTGGAGGTTATCAGCCAGGTTGTTCACCACGATGCGCAGGCCAGTGAGCTCTGTGAACATTGACCCCAGCTCTTCACAGGAGCGGTCACAGAACTCAGCCTTCTCTGGTTTCTCACCCACGTACTCAGTTGTGACAGCAGGGCTCAAGTGAAGGATTTCAGTGCTCTCATTGATGGTGTTCACTTCAGCTGGTAGCAAGAGAATGAAAGAGAAGAGCAGCATATACAAAGCTCTTCCACAGACTACAGATTCCTGCTGAAATCACAGATTGGCACCCATGGGTAGAGTTTAAACACATCTATTTTGGCACAGCTTCATGCTTATTATAGGCTTATTATACCCATGAATAAAAGAGGGGTTAGATGTCAGCTGGTTCCAATTACAGATTTTCCCTTTTCAAAATTAAGAGCCAAGCTGTGTTTCACATGGCCCTCACTTTAAAATTGTTGGCACTGCAACACATTAATTTATGAAGGATTCCACATCTGGATCAATTTGGACCATTCTGCAATGTATACCAGACTTTGGGCTACTCTATATTTCACTGCCCAGTGTTAAGCTCAGAGGAGCTGTTACAAAAATAGTTTCATTCTGAAGTGGAATAGGGGTCAAGCTAAAATCAGACAAATTATTTGATTTGTCACTCCAAACACTCGTCCAAAAGGCAGACTGGAATTAAAACAGAACTTTGCACTCACTAGACAGGGAGAACTGAACATGTTCTAATATAATTTTAAATACATCCCTGTAAATTCTTGAAAAAATAACATAACAGCAAGTATGATTTTAATTAATAAATAAAGCACATAGATAATGAAACAGTCTATGTTCTGTTAAGCATTTAAATCTCCATCAGGTAGAAGTCATGGATTCCATGGATGCTTTCTCTAAAGACTTCATGATAAACTCAAAGTTTGTATCAGCTATACAGCAAGCCATACTTCCTTATCTCTTAATAAAGACTTATTTACCAGACTTAGTCATGTTAGAATTGCTCAAGGTTGCCAAAAAGACAAGCAAAGGATATAGCAATTTAAAAAGAAGAAATCAGCACAGAACATGTGCCATAAAACATATGCATCAAAACTCCAATACCGTTCAGTGTTGACAAATCACTGAAGGTAGCAAAGCTTCAGAAATGTTAAGAGCTTAATTCCATGCTTTACCATACAATGTAAAGTGCTATACATAAGTTTAAAAGGAAATTGAATCAGGAGCTAAGTATTCTTCCTTCATTTGGAAGGCTAAAAGTAAAAGACCAAAGAACCAACCCACAATATGACATTAAGTGATTACTTCTCAACCAAACTTAAAATTATTGGCTTGATGTGCTTTTAAATTAGCTATGAAACATCTGCCACTAGCTAAAGTCTACAAAAAATTGTTCACAGTCTTCCAAAGTTGAAGCAATTGTCCAGCTTCATTTACAGGATGGGAGAAAACCACACAGCAGATCAGAACTCTCTGTGTCGTAACAGTTTATTTCAGCCACTTTTTGATTCCCTGGAAAGAATGCAATTTTCCTACCACATTGAAACACTAGATTTCTCAGATCCCCCCACAGCACTTCTCAGATCATTAATTTCATATTTTTCAAGCCAACATGGAGTGTGCCTTGACCGGAACATTCTGAGGACATTAATAAAGTTGCAATCTCAGCAGGAAACATAAACCAAAACTATGTTAGAAGAACTAAATCCTCACATCCTACTGGTACTTGGCAGTGACTGAAAGAAGAGCCTGGGGATCACTGGGAAATCAGTTCTCTGCTGCTGGCTTCCTGCTAATTTCCTAAGGACCAGATGATTAAAATGAGCAACCAGAAAAGCAAAATGTGCATCCTCCTCTCAAATATGCAAATATCATTCCGTTGAGATAACTCAAGAAGGGATTTTACTGATGTGCCTATTTAGGTGTGTTTCTGTCATCTTTCCTTCCCTAAATCCTGCCCAAAGGATTTGCAGCCACCACACTACTATTTTTCTACCCTCAACCAAACAGCATTCCCAAGCCAGCATTTCACCTATGTCACATTCCCATATTAGATTATGATACATTAAGATCATTAAAGATACATTGGGAAAACCTAGTCCTGTCTCCTTTTGTGTCCTTAGGGCTGAGGGAACTTCATCAGTAACATCAGCCTTGCTGCCATGGGACATTAATTCCATTAAAATTAATATGTCATCTTAATGCCTGTGCTTCAGTTAAACAAGTGAGGCATCAAAATGGGAAAATATTTTGTGGTCAGTAGCATAATTCATGACTTTTCAACTGTGGTAGTTGTCATTAGGAGCATCCTCCAAGTTTTAATACTGGGCCCAGCAGCGTTTAAACCATCCATGAGTGACTTGGATGGAGGGGCAGATACCTCCTCAGCTAGTTCACTGATGACAAAGCTGGGAGGAGTGACCAATACCCCAAAGGGCTGTGCAGACCTTCAGAAGGACCTCAACAGGCTGGAGAGATGGGCAGAGAAGAACCATTCTGCCCCTCTCCTTATCCTCAACCACACCTGGAGTGCTGTGTCCAGTTCTAGGCTCCTCAGTACAAGAAAGATATGGAGCTCCTGGATTGGGAGAGGAAGAACTTCTTTCCTGTGTGGGTGACCAAGCATTGGAACAGTTGCCCAGAGAGATTGTGGACTCTCCCTCACTGGAGATATTCAAGAATCATCTGGACACAATCCTGTGCCATGGACCCTACTTGAACAGGGAGGCTACACCTGTGGTCTTTTTCAACCTGACCCATTCCATGAGTACATGATTAAGCTGGACAGGCAATTTCAGAATCTGACATGAACATAAGAAAACCTCTCAAGTAATTTTGATGGCGTCACTGTGATATTAGTTCCTTTCTGTTACTGCACAAGGAATCTCCATCTTGAAAAATACTGTGAATTGAATTATTTGCTAAATAATTCTGAGGAAGGATAAAACAAAAACCCCAAATCTGTATAATTTATAGAACCGAAAATTTGGCAATTGACAGATATGATAAAAATACATTAAGAAAATATTTGTTGGTTATCAGCAGCTTATAGCTGCACAAGAATTCCTCTTAAGGTTTGTATTAGCATGAAGAACTCAATTATTCCTTAAGGCTCCCATTGGCTTCCTCTTCATAGTAGAGGTACAGTAACATCTTTTTTACTTGGTGATATTTCAAAACATTTAGTACTCCTTTGAAGAAGTCAGGATCTTCTATGGTTTAATTTCTGGGTTTTGCACAAACAAGAAGTAAAAAAAAAAAGAGTTCAATCTGCTTAACTGATTTTCTCTGTCACACATTTTAGCAAAGTAACAGAAATAATGGCATTTCAAATGGCAGGAGTTTCAAACAAAACCCTGAAGTCCTGACTTGTACACAAGTGGTGCAACATTCCTCTGACAGACTGAGCTGGCTCTGATTCTTGACTGAGCTCTTGTCAGCTACAAGCACTGGGAAGTAAAACAGTCAGCATCTCCTATGAGCTTGAGTACAAAATCTTAGCACATATTTGACAAATAATCCTACTTCTTTTATGGGGAATCCATTACAGTCCTACACAGAGTGCTCCCCTCCTGGCAGGGTAAGCTTGAACTGGACTAGCAAGAACATGTCAGCCCATAGCATACATGTCTTTCATATCTCTTCCTTTGATTTCTTATTTTCCTGAGGTTGTTTTGATTAACAACACTTTGGGAGTCAAACCCAAAGCCTCTTTCAGTCGAAGGTACTGCCAAGAAATTCAGTGTCTTTAAGAATGGCAGACTAGTTCGTGGGCCCATTGACAGTCAGCAGCAGAATTCAGAACCAACACTACCTGTCTCGAGTGCAAAGAATTGCAGAAAACTCATAACAAAATATGTATTTTCCTACACAATTTTCCTTCCATTTCTACTAATTTATTGCTCAATACTTTTTTCCCCAACTTAAAAACTAAAAAGCTCAGTTATAAACTTAGTAACTGAACTAAAATAATAGGCTAGAGAGTAGAAATTGTATCATATAAACATGTAAGTTCCCATTACCACCAAAAAGCAACTCATTCTCCTTTTCAAAGGGATCTGTCACATGGTTTTAGGATAATATTTCACAGTTGACATTACTAACTTTCAAATTCAACTGAACAGTATTAATAAGATAACAAAAGCCTTACTTGACTGGCTTCTCTGGCATCCTTTCTTACGCAGAACATCCTCTATTGAAGTATCAAAGATTAACTGAATATTTTGCAAAAGTCCCTGTAATAATAATTTTAAAAAGCAATTAAAAACAGCAAGATCAATTTTTTAGCAAGTAATAACTAATCTGTCTCAATGACATGCTACTGACTGGATTCAGACATAAGCAAATACAAGGCATTAAATCTGACACACAGAAAAAAAAAGTGGTTATAGCTTTGCTATATACAGTTTCAGTATTATAAGGCACAAAGCTAGGTGTGTTCTGAAGCATGTCATAGTAAAATATATTAATCTTCTACAAGCTCAAATCTCCATTTCCACAGTGAACTTTAGATTTGTCATAGGGTCAAAGCCAACCTTCCTGCTCTATCACACTTCCATCCTTAGCCAGTCATTCCCATGCACCATAGTTCACTGCCTCCTCAATGGTGCTGACACTGCTCTGAGACAACACTCTGCAACCAGACTGGTATCTAGTTCACTTGGGCAAAAAATCAACAAAACTCTCAAAGAAAAAAAAGTTAAAACCCAGATTTTTTCAGTGGGCCACTTTTTGATACAGCTTCAGAACCAGTTGCATGAGCACTACTGATGGAGTAACTTAGTCAGGGAGGCAGGAATGGAGAGGCTGTGGGCAAGAACTTCTGAAGTCCCTGCCAAAACTAGTCATCCCATGGAGCCAAACTCCAGCATGTCAGGCTCCGGCTGAAAACTAGATGGCACAACATGATGAGAAAGAAAGGGCTTTTTTGAACTTTTTGGAGCCATGAGTTCAAGTCTGACTTCAGCTTTGACTGAAAAGAAGCCCTCTTTAAAGCAGTTGGGCCAGGTAACATCACTAGATTATGTGAGGCAGAAGGTCATTTCCATTTGATAGAAAAAAAGAAAGCTTATAATTGCTCCATCTCAAATGTTTTCCACAAAAAGAAAAATAATCTAATTTACAGGACTGATCAAAACTTTTTATTCTATTTATTTTTTCAATTTTTTCCTCTTTTAAATTTAAATTGAAAAAAAATATTCAAAACGGCAAAACAGGACGTCCTGTTACAGGATGGACCAATATCACATGCTTCAGCTCCCTTAAAAATTAATTTTTTCTTGTTCTTTCAAATAAAAAAATAAAAATATTGATATTCTCATGATTTGAATAGATATATTTCAATGTAAAAACAGTTCTTCAAGAAATTTGGAAAAAATTCTACAAATCACCACAAAACCGCAACATCTCTATAAGTGTTACATCTTGAAGAGAAAAGGGATGGTTGCATAGGAAAGCAAAAAATTGGTTTTGCACACTTTTTCTGGATTTAGACTTGACTTTGCCTTTGCTTTCAAGACCCCCAAAATCACACATATCAGCAATTAATAAAAGCACACTCTGTTTGGTAATATCCATGAATCCATTAAAACCAAGAGGCACTGGGACAACAAAACTGTGCCTACTGCAGCTTCCCAAACTACTTGCAGTTTACCTTCTTACCACACCGGAGACCCAAGCTCCTGCAGGTCACCTACCCTGAAATGATTCTCCCGAGTGGACCCTTTCGCCACGTACAGCCTGCTGCTCTCTGCTTTCAGCTGCTCATAGAAAGGCTCCTCCAGGATGAAGCTGTCAATAAGGTCACAGCCAACATAGAGGTTGTAGTTCTCCCCGGTTATCTGCACGGTGAGGTTCTTCCACTGCGAGTCAGCAAGGTCCACATCTTCCAGGGAAATCACGTTCTGGAAGCCATCCACCCAATAGATAAGGTCCAGGGTGTTGGCCCGGCCATTGGAAATGATCTCAAACTGCCTCTCACTGATGCCAGGACCCTCTAAAGCAAGGAGAGTGCCTCTAGATTGCCTGTCCTGCCTCAGGGTGGCTGAAAGGATAAAGCCCTCATTCTGCCGTATTAGTTTTACGATCTTTTTTAGTTTCTCCGGTTTACATGGAGGTATATGGTCAAACCGAATGAAACGATACGCTGGCACAGTGGGGTCTGGGCCCCGGAACACCTTTGCTCCAATTGTCTTTCGGTTTATGTTACTGACTTGAAGTAAATCAAAGGTAGTCTCCTCTTCCTTGTCACCATCTGAAAAAGTTAACACTGTGTGACAATGTGTCTACCAAAAGTCTTGCAAGAAACAGCTCTGTACAGTATACTTAGTAACCGCATTTAACACTTGTATGACAGACATTAGGGACCAGCAGAGTAAATTCCCCTCTTCCACAAATGGAGCTGCTCCTACAAGCAGGCAAGTGAATCATATGTTCTACCTGACATTTTCATTTACATGGCAATTCTCTCCTTCTGGGCATACAAATACTTTTGATTATACTTTTATACAGATGGCTTCATATTTTATAGCACTGTATAGTACATACTTGTACATATATATATATGCTGTAGGCCATGTATATGCTTATACATGGATGCATGTAGCAATTTATTCATTAAATATTTAATTAAATATATGAATGGATAAGGAATTTGAGGCAAGTGCTATATTTTGATTACCAGATAATGGAAAATTAAATGAGAATCCATGTGCCTACACAATGACTGAGAAAAAAAGAGATTTGGTTTTTAAAGACTGCAACCAAGAAATCAGATGTAAATGAGGGTCTGGCACTGTGCCAAATCATATTCTAGTCATATTTGGTCGGTGCATGTCTATTTCCCTACACTTCTAATATCAATTATTTCTGGGATTATATACATTTTAATCAATAATTTATAAAGAAAGCAATTTTGGGATATATTGAGAAATATTCATTTAGCACTCGCAAGGTGTATCTACCAAAAATACCTCAGGCACTCCTAAAGAAAATCCTTTATGATTACTTTGCTCACTATAGTCAGGTAAGCCAACACTTTACAACTTTTAACTTTGGGAAGTTAACTTTTAAGAAGTGTCTGAACTTACCCTGAGCATTTGAGGAAACCCACAGGGATATCAAGATAGCAAGCCACAGCAACCCTCTCCTTTTCAGCATAACTCCTATGAATAAACCAAAAAGTAGTAGGTATTAGGGAAATTATATTTATCAACTATAAATAGTGCAATTTTCCTCATGAAAAGTCAAAACCAGCAACCACACATATAAAATCAGAATTTTTATTTTAACTAATCCTTGTAACACTTCAGGTGAAGGGAAGAGAATTATAAAAGTTAGAGCTCCTTCTTTAGGAAATGTCCTTAATAAAAAGAAAAAAAAATACAGAAAATATACATTACTATTATTTTCTTAATGAAATTCCAGTAGCTGGCATAGAGACCATATTACACTACAGGAGATAAAGATTATTGCTACCACATCTTTACTTTGGAGCAAAATATTCAGTCAAAAATCCCTGCAGGATAATGGGATCTAAATTAGATGAAGGTTCTGAGTAATGGGGTACTTTTCAGTCCCATTTTCAGTGCCATGATACAAACTCCTCTCTCTTCCATATATATACAATCCTCTATACCCAAACATAGCTGGGATAAAGTGACTCTTAACGTGATGCTGGGTTTGCCCTGTAGCACTGTGCAGTTATAAACCACATAATTGCATCTCCGTATGTGTCTCAGCTCACAATGAATGGAGCAGAAGCATTCTCCGGCATGTGTAGAAATCCAGTTCTCTGGGTACAGCCAAATAACTTCAGCACTGCCAACTCCACACATAACTGCAAGGACTCGGGGATGTCGCCAGCGCTTCCCGTCTATATTTTCTTTGTTCTACACGAAACTCTCATTACCTGGCATCCCCAGGGTACCACCGCTGCAGCCAACTACCGGCAGCCGCCAAGATGCCTCTCTCACCTCCCGAACCCCGCGGTTCCCGGCGGGACAGAGCCAGCCCGGGCGGCAGGGCAGGGCTGCCGCGGGCAGGTGCCTCACGCCCGCCGGCCCCGCGGCTGCAGCCCTCACCTCGCACCCCGAGTCCCCGCGGGGTCGGCAGCGGGGCGACTGCCCACGGCGAGCTCCGAGCGGGCGGCGGGAGAGAGCGGGNCCGGGCCGGCTCTCCCGGGGACACTTGCTGATTGAGAGCTCGGTGCTCCTGCCGCCACCGCGGCAAAACCCCACCTTCTCGAGGGCTCAGTTCTCTCATTTTTATCCTTTTTTAAATTGTTGAACAGCCCAAAGCCGAGACTTGCCCCGTCCCCCGGTGAGCTGGCAAAGTGCTCACTGGATGTCAGCCAGCAGCTCCTCAAGTGAGCGCAGCACCTCGGTCCCGCTCTTCTGCACAAGAAGGACCATCCCCTTTCATTCCGTGGGAGACGTAGAGGGCTTACTGAGGCGTCCTCCTTGGGCAGGGAGCCTTGGCTCGGGGCTAGTGAAAGCTGCACAGGAGAAACCTCTCGCTTAGGCTGATCCGAGTCACGTTAGGAGAACTGGGAACTATCTCCACAAGCAAGGACTCCAGTCACAACCACTGAATTTTAAAGGTCAACACGCTGAGGAGCAGCCAGCCAGCATCACTCGCCACAGGGAGCAGGAGGATGGATCCCTGTAGCAGGTCTGCACACAGAACCTGACGTGACATGTATATAAGTTTCAGAAGTCAAAGGAGAAGACCACGATCTTAGTAGCTGAGTCCTGAACTGGGGTTGCAGAATATCTGTGAAAATCCTGCAGCTGGTGTGAAGAGGCATGGATTTCGCTCAATTTTCCACAGAATCCAAGAAATGTATCCCTGTCAAATGCATAGGTGGACAAACTCCACAAATCTTAAGAAATAATATTTTAAAAAAATAAAAATAAAAAAAAAATCCCTGCCCCCAAAAAACCAGCACAGGAAGTCTTTAACTTTGCCCATCACAATTTGAAATTCCAGTAGAAAAAGGTGTTGATACTTCAGAGCTCTGAGGGCTTCAAAAAGCTCAATCTGTCACTACAGCAGAAAATGCCAATGCAAGCATTGCTCCCTTTCCTTTTGCCATGGAAGCTCCTTCCAACTTGGCTGGTCTTGGCCTTGCAGGGTAACAGGAGCCAAGGAGCCTTCCCCTTTCTCACAGGGTCCAGGAGACTGAGCCAAGATAGGAGGGAGAGGGCTTTTTTGTCTTCCTAAGACATTTGGTTTTCAGTTTTGCAAAACCTCAAGAATTTTAAAAAACAGCTAATGATGTTCACAAAACCTCAAATTCTAGTGGGTTTACTCATTCTCCCTGCTATATTAAGACTTAGTCTTTATATCTATATATGTAGCTGTATGGTGTGTTTTCCACTAGACTGAACTGTGCTGGGATAACTCTCATCAGGAAGCTGCTCTGGAATTATAGCTGGAGAAGAGAATGCAGCAAAGTGTTTAAGAGACCAAGAAGGTATCTCTGAGTTTCATGAATTATTTGTACATTTGTATGGAAAACATTTTTACAATAGAAATTTTTAAGTCAATAAATAACAATAGAGACATTTTTTTTGTGACACCTTTTAACCAGCTGCCTCATAGTAAATCTTTCCATCTCTGTGAATGTTGTAGGAATGAAGGATTGATAGCATAGTGCTTTGAGCTGAGTGGTTTATATATAGGATGATGACCTTTAAGAAGAGAGTTTTGACTGTAGTCTTTCCACAACTGTGAAAATGCTTACTTGCTCACTTTCCCCTGCCCACCTTGGAAGAGGTAAACATCTTCTTTCCAAGATTCCTGATGGAAAATCTCAAAGAAACAAGTACACACTCTGCTTTCCACAGCAAGCCAATGTACACATGTAAACACTGGAATAACATTCATGTGTCTCAATTATCTTGGTTTGCAGGACAGGTGTCTGCTAGGGAAGGCAAGAGACTCCCTTGGAATGAAAAATGTAAACCCCCTCCCTCTGAATTATTATAATTCTGAAATCAAGGGGCTCTCAGGCAGAGATCTGGGGATAGGAATAACAGTTCTTTACTAGTTTGTATAACAAGTCTAACAAACAACAATAACTACAGCATTAGCAAGAAAACAGAACCTGGGGCCCCGTGACAGCTTTCTTGGTCGAGAAAGGAAAGGAAAGGAAAGGATGGAGGAGAGGCTTTGCTTCACAAACCCCCTCGGGCGGGCAGTCCTGGTGCTCCTGCAGGGCTCTGAGGAACAGTCGGCTGGAACAGCAGGGATGAGTAGGAATCCCGGGCAGGTGGATGAGTTGTATCAGCAGCTCTGTGGTGGTGCTGGTACTACCCACGTCCCGGCAGGACATGGGGTGCAGGGCCCACAGATTAATATTAAGAAGCTCTGTCTGGTTTATGGTGAATTCCTTTCCCCAAGAAACAACAGCTCTATGTGTGTCCTGCTCTGAAGCCGAAGAAGCGAGCCAGCCCGCAGCTGCCCCACCCTGGCCTGCCCTTTTACCTATCCCTCTTCCCTCTGGGACCAGCCAAACTTTGTCTTCTCAAGCATGCCCTAAGTACCAGCAGTCAGGTTTCCCTGCAAATAATGGAGAAAATTCTGTAGGTGAGAAGGAACAAAAGGAAGGACATCTAACCCCCAACATCAATGTACCTGATTTTTCAGTGCAACGGGAAAGTGAACAATGGTGATTAGAGATTGTAAAGTCAGATTTGCTGACATGTAGGAACGCAACTGAGGTAGCAGTAGACCTCCTACCGATGGTTTTCTGTACTGTTTTACCTTTTCACTGCATTTTGCTTCAGACCAGCACATCAGACATGAGCACAGGTCCTTAACTTCTCGTCTCTCAATGCACCTCCCTTTGCCTTTTTCAATCTGCTGTTTTCCTTCTGTACCAGCCCTAGGGACCTTCCATTTTGGATCATGTAAATATCGTACAAGGTAACGTATGTTCCTGAAAATCACTGGGCAATGTCAGGATTCCAGTATGGCACTATCTCAGAAAGAACTGTGACTTGATGGATCTCCACCACATATTCCATGGTTTTGCCTAGGACTTTATCACTGACATTCTGACTTAGCTTGACTTTGAGGAAGACTTGAACTCTTCTACATTAGAAGAAATCCCAATAAAGTGGAATATACTATACATGCTATTTTGGTTTTTTTCTTTTACTGCTTTTCTGGTAAAATTGAAACTTTTTCTTTTGGCATGATCCAAAAGAAAAACTCTGTGACTTTTGCTGGACAAAATTCTGATTTATATTTTTTTTTTCCTTTCCTGACAAGAGTATCCCCACTAATTGAAATAGATACAGTTGCATGAGTGTGATAATGTCTTTCAGGTTTTATTCTGCAGTCCTGGATTTTACCTGATGGTGATAAACATTCTTACAGAAAAGCTCTCAAAAAGCCATGAAGATTTTTTTTCTTTTTTTTTCTTCCTGTGGTTTTTTGAATTTGATTTTCATAATTCACTGTATTGAGGTTCCAAAACTGAAACAGGTAACTTCAAATTAGCCTATGACTTAGTGACTAAGTTTTTTGAATGAGCTTGTAGGGACAGGGAGAGAGGACCTGGTGCTTCCTCTGACAACATGTTGTAAGTACTCCAGTTAAATGCAGACTTTTAGTCCAGGAATAGAATACACAAGGGAGAGTGAATTCCTATATGATGAGGGAGACATGCACTTTTGACAAAGCTTTATGTGTTCTTTTATTTAAGTTCTGGTGCCAGAAAAAAATGGGTATCATAATCAGGTACTTAATCTTCTGCTGTTGTTTCAGAGGAAAAGAGGGAAATACTGCTACCACCCATTTGCAGACTTTATCTTTAGTCAAAAAAGATCTGTACACAAATACTTGTGCAGTGGTTTCAGCAGAAAGACTGAGTTTAAAGCTAAGTCCATGTTGTCTAAGTGTTTTGCTATGTTGGTTCCTACATGATTTAACTGGCATCACACAGTAAGTTATGGAAAGAGCAATACATAAGTGGAATCCAAGATTCTTAACTCCTGGTCTGAAACTTGGATCTCAAAACCCTTTTTATTCCCTGTTCTTGCAGTACATATGACAAAACAAATATCCATCTACAAACAGTTGACTGTGTCCTTAACCATTTTACAGAATTTTTGTATTCTCTCCCCACGTGAGCTGCTGAACATATTCAGACTGCCAAGTATTTTCAGCCTCCAAAAAGGA